AGGATAGGAAAGGTAGCAGGATACAACAGTTACTAATAGGGCATTATGTAAAAATGTGGATGTGTAACCGATGTGATTCTGCAATCTGTGTTTGGGTTAAAAATGGGAGTTCATAACCCACTTGAATCTAATGTATGAAATATAATGTCAAGAGCTTTTTTGTAATGTTTTGAACAACCAATAAAAAAAATAAAAATAAATAAAAAAATAAAAATTCAATGATACTTAAAAAAAAAAAATTTCACCAGAGAGAAATGTGCATGTTCAATAAACACAGACCAGGAAACAGAACAGAGCAGGGAGGAAGAGCAGGAAGAAAAGATTAACATTAAACAGAGACATGAGGTGGGAGGTACCTTTTTTATCTGTATTTCTCCGTAGCAGTTTGTCCACCTGAGAAATGGCTTCTTCCCAGCAATTGTTGCTTGCTTGAACATGGGGCTCAATCAACTTTAACTTCTGTTCTAGGATTTGATAAGCCTCTGATACTAGTTCTTGTGTTTCTTTAGTACAAACAAGCTTTTCAAGTTCATCTTCAAGAATTATAACCCTGGGCAATAGAGAAAAATAGGAACAGACTTCTAAAATATGAAATGAAAAATTTATAACTAATAAGGTTTATTTAAAAAAAATCAAGCTTATTTGGGCTGGGGATGTGGCTCAAGTAGTAGCACGCTCGCCTGGCATGCACGGGGCGCTGGGTTTGATCCCCAGCACTACATAAAAAAAATAAAATAAAGATGTTGTGTCCACTGAAAACTAAAAAATAAATATTAAAAAAATTCTCTCTCTCTCTCTTAAAAAAAATCAAGCTTATAAGATTAGAAAAAGGAATGAAGATGAATGGTGGTGATGGTTACACAGCAATGCGTATGTATTTGATGCCACTGAACTGTACATTTAAAATGGGTAAATGAGGCTAGAGCTCAGAGCTCAGTGATAGAGCACTTGGCCAACCCGCATGAGGCTCTGAATTTGATTCCCCAGCACACCCTTCTGCAAAAAAGGCTTTTTTTTTTTATATCATGTATTGATTAAAAAATATTTCTTGGGACTGAGGTTGTGGCTCAGTGGCAGAGCACTTGCCTAGCAGTGTGAGGCACCAGGTTTAATCCTCAGCATCACATATAAATAAATAAAAAATAAAGGTACATCAACAACCAAAAAGTGTTTAAAAAAGATTTCTTACATGCATACTAGTCATTTTATGAGCTATAAAGATAAATTAAACCCATCTCCTACTTATTAAAAATCAATAACTGAAATAGGAAAATTATCATATATATATAAAAGTACAATATATATAAAAAGTTAAAACACTTTATTTTCACTTTACACATAAGGAATTAGGTTCAGAGAGTTAAATAAACTTGCCCAGAGTCACAAAGCTGGTACCGCTGGTTTGAATCTAGGCCCCAAAAGATAACACAACAGAGACACAGATATTCATTCGCAAAATGAGATGAGAGGAAAATTATGACCAGCTATGGGCACAGATGGGGAACAGCTAAGGAAGAGATACTTTGAAGAAACATTGAAGGATGGATAATTTTGTGCTTTTACAAAAAGTAAATGGAACATGGGAAGGGGCATTTACACAGTTTTGGCAGGACTGAAGGAAAGGAATGAGAAATAAAGATAGAAACTTGGACTGTGGCCAGATTATGGCCACCCTTTCCATAGAATGTTTTGTATAGACTTTAAGCTGCTGTACTTGGAAAACAGTGAAGATTTTCAGTTAAGTGAGAAAGCAAATACATGCCTCAGCAAACTTAACCTGGCAGTGCACACTGTGGAGGTCAATGCCCTGGTGCAGGTTAGAGGCAATATGGTCTGACAGGGAGGCATGGAGAGTGGGAAGAGCCGAGGGGACAAGGGAGAGAGAGAAGTGAAACACAAAAAGAGGGTTTCAAAATATGAAACATAAAACAATTTTCTAAGATAATACTTTTAAAAGTGGTGTGTAGCAGCACTACAGAACAAATCATATAATAATTTGTGAATGATATACTTTCTAGTTCAAATAGTTAGAAAGGTTAGATATAGTAGCATATACAGAAATTATATTTTAAAACAGGACACATACCTCCTATATATCCTACAATTCCTACCCAGGGTACCAAGCCTCTTTTCTGTATTCATGTCCACCCATGGTAGCACTCTTCCTTCCCTAAGCCGTCTTCCTTCCCTTTAATGCATTTCAATATACCTAGTGTATTTCTGATTCTATTCCCCAAAATTAATTCTTCGGACACTCTGGGTTTGCTAATATAACCTTTTCATGGAAATCTGATTTTTCTCTGTTATTGATGCAATCTCTACCCACTCAAGTGGAGAGAGCCTTATCTCCCATGTTCCTTGCTAAGAATTGGGTTAGCTGCTTTCTTAGAACAGCAGATATAGACCACTAGAACACCCTACCTCATGGCTTTTTCATTTTCCTTAGGAGCTTTATATCTGACTATCCCAGCTCTCCAACTGATGGGTAAAACCTATCTTCTCAAAATGTCTTTCTGACCTTAAATTTCTATCCTCTATATATATCTTATTTTTCCTCATTCCACTTAAACTAGGGTTTTCATTTTATTGATATGTCAAGTCCTTTTGACCCATTTTCTTATCTTATAAAATTAATTGCTGTCCTTCTCCTATTTCTTGCTTGGTAATCTGAGTCAAAGATATCAACTATAATCTATGAGTTCAATAAATTCCTATGACCTTCCTGAACACCAACACAACAAGAACTCAATCATTCATTTGATCCAGTCCTACAGTATGGACATTTAACTGTTAGAGAAAAGTTGCGCTGGGAATGATTATATTCAGATTACATTCTGGTTTCTGTAGTATGGCGGTTATCACTTTTGCCTCATAGATATTATATGCTTTGACTCAGATTTTAAATGTGAAAATTTCCATGCAGAAATAGATGAAATACTAAGGAAGCCTGGAGCTTGTGAAAAAGCAGAATACCCTCACTTATTGGGATACTAAGATATCAGCTATGGCCCCCTTCTTCCTCCTGGGAGAAGTCTATATTACCCCTTTTTAAATAAACCTTGCTTTATATGCGAAAGAAAGAAAGAAATAGAGAAAATAGGGTTTTATTTATTTATTTATTTTGCAGGACTGAGGGTTGAACCCAGCCTCAACCACTCTAGGCAAGTGCTCTACCACTGATCAATATCCTCCGACCTTTATTTATTTTATTTTGAGGCAGGGTCTCACTAAGTTTTCAGGTAGGCCTTGAACTTGGGATCTGCCTGCCCTGAGATTCCAGAGTTGCTGGGATTACAGAAATGTGTCATGACACCTGGCTGAAAATAGTATTTTTTTAAAATATATTATTTATTTTTTTAGTTGTAGTTGGATACAATATCTGTATTTTACTTACTTATTTTATACCTTTATTTCATTTATTTATTATTATGTGGTGCTGAGGATCAAATCCAGGGTCTTGCACGTGCGAGGCCAGCGCTCTACTGCTGAGCCACAATCCCAGCCCTGAAAATAGTATTTTTAATTGATAAAGGTATACCAAAGTAGGACAAAAAGTTTAAAATTATGGTAGAACACCCAATATTATGCAAAACAGAAGATCAACAAATATAAACTGTGGGCCCTACCTTTTCCTGTTCAACTGAAGTCAAAAAGTTAGTTCTGTGCCACAGAAAAATTTACAAATCTGCTATAATTTCTTTAGAAAAATAGCAACATATAACTCTCCAACTGTGTAATAATGGCTCTAGTCCTATTGCAGTGCTGGCAGGTATTCTCTCAGACTGCAGGTTCCAGTTTTAAAACCCTACCTTAAGGGAGTTAAAAGCAGCTCATTTTTTCATAATCTTCTCCATCTCAGCTTTCAAAGACAATGAACACTGGCTTTGTCCTATCTTTCTACGTTTTCTGTTAAAAAGTAAAAACTATAAGTGACTGTCTCCAAAGTTAGTAATTATAAATCTTTGTTTCTCTGCTACATTTGTAGCTATAAACCATCCTTCATGCTGCATGTCTCAATTTTGTTTCTTCTTTTTAACTAGGACACAAGCCAACAACTACAATGGCACAAGAATGAAGCTTGCTAATCACAGGGACATTTCCTTAAATGGCCTCCAAACTTACTCATTCAGTAATGCTTTCAGATGGAGTTGCAAGCTGCGCACTGCTGTGTGAACATTATTTAGTTCTTTTGACTTCTGCTGAGTTTTACGCTGGGGTACTGACTGGTGCTGGGTTTCAAAGTACCGGTAGAACTCATAGCTGCGTTTGAGCTCTTCTAAACAGGCAGAATGAGCATGAGGTAGACCTTGAATCACATCAGACAGTATATGATGAGGCAAGAGTGCTGGAGAAAGTAAGGGCCCTGGAGGTGAATTGGCTGAAGAAAGCAACAGGGCTAACCGTCTGAAGAACTCTGAACTCTGTGCCACCCAGAGTTGAAACAACACCTAAAGGAAAAAAAAAAACAGAACTGACCAATAAAAAACACTGGTAAACATTTAAAACAAACTACAAATCTTCTTATCTGCTTATCTTAACTTTTGGTTTAAAATTTTTACTTTATCTGAAATAATGAATATAGTAAGTTGAAACCAACTCTTTTTTTCTTTATGTGCAGTTATCTTTATTTCAATTCCTAAGTATATTAGTTTGACCTCAGACATATGTTAGGCATGTCACAAACAGTAGATAACTGAAACCAACATGAATTTTGCTCAAGACATCTAGTTATGTTCTTCTGCAATCCACTTATTAAATAAAAAACATGACTGGTTTTGTTTGGAACTTGGAAAAAGCCAAGTAATATTTTACGGTCATTATGACAAACTTTAACTTCACAGGCCCTGTAAAAAGATTTTCTTTTTGGGAGCTGGAGATTGAATCTAGGGCCTTTTTAAAGCCCTTATTTTCTCATATCTTCCCATATCCGTAACTTTCCTGAATTCTTTAATATCCACATGTACCTGATGAACTGGGTAGCCTGTTACATCAGTAGTCAATGTTTAAATATGGGGTGACAGAAAAACTTGTATTCCTAATCAATTCATAGATGATTTTCAAACTCTTAATATTGGAAAAGCACAATTTTCTATTTAAATGACTATTATAAAAAGGAGACAAACGAGCCAATTCATGCAATGATATTCAGACCCTGTTCTAAAAAAATAAATCATATATCCAATTCTTACTGCTGAGTAAAGAAACTATCAGGTCATCAGCTACAGTTGAATGTTACTCCTCTTCTCCAAGCAAGAGGTATTTAGAATCATGAATGAATTCAAAGCCAACAAGCATAGAGTGAAAGCTTTACTCTAAAAGCTGAACTAACTCTTAAAATTAGCCGAGAATATTATATATATATACCAAATTATGTAGTCATCACATGTGGTAACTTATGATCTCAGTATAGTAAGTAACACATATGTGATTTAGTACAGTTCCATCATAGATGAGAGGTGCTGATGAGACACAATATATTTATTAAAAGCGAGTCTTTCTTCATGAATTATTTAACAATTTTTTACACAGAGAAAATACTAGAACTATTACATGTCTTCTTATTTAACTATTAAAACTATTTGTAGCTTGCCACAGTGGTGCACACCTGTAATCCCAGCAGCTCGGGAGGCTGAGACAGGAGGATTGCGAGTTCAAAGCCAGCCTCAGCAATGGTGAGGTGCTAAGCAACTCAGTGAGACCCTGGCTCTAAATAAAAGTACAAAATAGGGCTGGGGATGTGGTTCAGTGGTTGAGTGCACCTGAATTCAATCCCTGGTACCAAACAAAAAATAAAAAACAAACTGCATTTGTTCACTCAGAAAATACTTATTGAGCACTACAGTGGGTAAGGCAATGTTTGGGGTACTGACAATACAGCTTCATATGAACAAAAATGAAAAAGAAAATCCCCACCTTGATGAAACTTCATTCAAGTATGGGGTGGAAACAGATAATAATCAACAAGTAAAATACAGTATTTCTTGGTTAATGGAGACATGGAGTAAAATACTGTAGAGAAGGGGAATAGCCAGCGTGTACATGTGTATACACAGATGAGAGAGGAAAGGAAAGGGAAGAAAAGAGAGGAAGGGAGTTGGCCAGGAAGGTATCTATTAGCATCACTTGAAAGAACCAATCCATGACACCATCAAGAGGGAAGAGAATTCTAGGGAGCAGGAGGTTCAAGTGCAAATCAGGATGCTCCCTTGGCAGGAGCATATAAAAGAATAAAGTTGACATAGCAAACTGCTGCTTTTAAAAAGACTAATTTTTACCCAATTACTGTCATATTATATATTTAATCCAAAAACTCAGAAGCATGTATGTTTTTATCTGTTTATTCTTTGGATAAGGAAGGTGTTCTGAGTAAGAGAATACCCATAATTTATGGGCAACAAGAAAACTTTGATTTAAATCATTTCACAATATGTAGATTCATTTTTAAAATCAGAAAACATAGTACTTTATAGTTTAAAAAACTAGTTAAGGGCTGTGGTTGTGGCTCAGTGGTAGAGTGCTTGCCTGGCATGTATAAGGCAATGGATTCGATCCTCAGCATCATATAAAAATAAACAAAAGTAAAACAAAACTATTGTGTACATTTACAACTAATTTTTTTTTTAATTTAAAAAATCAAGGGGCTGGGGATGGGGCTCAAGTGGTAGCGCACTTGCCTAGCATGTGTGAGGCACTGGGTTCAATTCTCAGCACCACATAAAAAATAAAGATATTATGTCCACCTAAAACTAAAAAAATAAATTTTAAAAAAATATAAAAAAATAAAACAAAAGCAAAAAAAAAAAAAAACTAGTTAAAAAGTTAAAAGAGCTGAATATAGTGGCACCTGACTATAGTATCAAGTACTGGGACAGCTCCTGTACTAGGTATTTTATATGTTTCTTTCAGAAGGTTGTTTTCCAAACACAGGTGCAACATTCCCTATTGCTAAGTGTTCCTGAGGGAATATATATATATATATGAACAATAAAAAGATTAGTTCAAAATGTATTTTCTTTAGAGGGCACAATGAAGATTACAAAGGAAAACTAATTCATTTGTAAACCATCTTTCATTAGGTCTTTTTATAAAACTTCAGTGCTACTCTTTTGAGAAAGAAGTTTCTTTTAAAATTTAATTTATAAAAATCCATTTTAAAATTCCTCATCTGAGTACAGTGGAAACTATAAAAGGTGGAAATACCTGTTTTGAATATAACAGGAACTTGTAGTAGTTTACAGATATCAAGATAAGGCTTATTCTGGAGCCTGATAGTCCTAACAACTACACAATTATTGAGTTTGGTTACAGAAGAGCTATTTGTCAAAATAAGGCAAATATAAAAACTCTATTATAGCCTGATGTGAAAAACAATATGGACAAGAAAAAGGATCCAGTCATAATTGGCATCATTGGGGGAGTAAGATGGGGAAAAAAGGCCAGAGAACAGTCTCACATTTTAGAGATGGTCATATCACCTGCAAGGTAAAAATTCAGCTAACATTAATTGCTTACTCTATGCAAGGTATAACTGGCAAATATTTTATCCTTTGGAGGTAGGCACTGTAATTATTTCATCTTCATAAATGCAGAACCAATGATTTGCTCAAGGCTCCATAAAGAGGCAAGAGAGAACTAGAGAGAAACCTACAAAAGACTAACTCCATGGGACCCACCTTTTCTCTTTGCTGCCTATATTTTAGGTTTGAACATAGTCAGAATTTAGCAAGCTTTTATTTATTTAAATTAATTAATTTATATTTTGGTACTGGGGATTAAACCCAGGAACGTTTTACCACTGAGCTATATTTTCTATATCACTTCTTTTTATTTATTTATTTTTTAAATATTGAAACAGAATCTCACTAAGTTGCCAAAGCTGGCCTTGAACTTGCCATCCTTCCACCTCAGCCTATTAAGTTGATGGGTTTACAGGCATGTGCCATGCCCCACCACCCCAACCCATGCCGAGTCCTTCTTAAAGAATACTACTTATTACTATTTTTGAATACCCATTATACGACAAGCCTGCTATAGGTAGATTGTTTGTCTTCTCATTTAATCTAACATTCAACAAGGCAGATGTGGCAACCTCCTTTTACAGATAAGTTCAAAGAATAGTTTATTCAAGGTCAAATGATCGATTAGAATCAGAGCTAATATATAAACTCAGCTCTGCTCAATTTTTTTTTGCAAGGGGTGAGGAGGGTAGTAGGGATTGAACCCAGAGGTACTTAACATCCTTTTACATTTTAAAAATTTTTAGACAGGGTTTTTCCAAGTTGCTTAGGGCCTTGCTACATTGCTGAGGCTGGCTTTGAACTTGTGATCCTCAGCCTCCTGAGCTGCTGGGATCAAAGGAGTACACCAGGGCACCTGGCTTTAATTTTCTTCTTTAAGAATTTCTCAGATTGTCCTTTGTAAAATACTTTATTTCCTTTGTAGAGTAAAGCATGGTCATGATATTGAATTTGGAAGTGAATGAAATTACCTGAAGTTCTACCACCCCAACAAGTATTATTAATATTTTGATATTTTCTCCTGGTCTTTTTAAATGTTTTTAATATTTTTTTGGGTGTAGATGGACATAACACAATGCCTTTATTTTTTATGTGGTGCTGAGGATTGAACCCAGGTCCCGCTAGGTGAGCGCTCTACCCCTGAGCCACAATCCCAGCCCTCCTGGTCTTTCTTAAAAAACAGAATTCTGGCCACACTGCTTATATATGTATGTATCCTGATTATTTCACTGGAAACAGATGTTTCTCTAAGACTTTACAAAATCTTCATAAGCAAGTCATAGCTATTACTCAGTCTTTCAATATGTGAATCTAGTCTTTTATTGCTGAGCACTTAGGCAATACTCCATTTTTCGCTATTATATACATAAAGCTTCACTGTATTTAGAATAATTTCCTTAAGAAAATTTTGCAAGGCTGATGATGTGGCTTAACTAGCATGTATAAGGCCCTGGGTTCAACCCCTAGTAGCACCAAAAAATAAAAATAAGATTTGCATGAGTATAATTATTTTTTTTAAAGAGAGAGAGAGAGAGAGAGAGAGAGAGAGAGAGAGAGAGAATTTTAATATTTATTTTTTAGTTATTGGCAGACACAACATCTTTGTATGTGGTGCTGAGGATCAAACCCGGGCCGCACGCATGCCAGGCGAGCACGCTACCACTTGAGCCACATCCCCAGCCCCGCATAAGTATAACAATTGATCTAAAGGATAAAGCATTTAAAAGGCTCTCTCTTTTTTTTAGTTATAGATGAACATGATATCTTTATTTTATTTATTTATTTTTATGTGGTGCTGAGGATCCAACTTAATGCCTCACACGTTCTAGTCAAGCACTCTACTACTGAGCTACAACTGCAGCCTCTGAAAAGCTGTTTGTGTGTCAAATTGTATTCTCAAATCAATAAACTTGAGGAAACTGAGAAGAAAATGAGTGTGGTGGCCTACCCAGAGATGATTTTACTTGCCTACAATGACATGCACCTATAATCCTAGCTGTTGTGAAGTTTTCAAGGCAGGAGAATTCCAAGCTTGAGGCCAGAGAAGCAACACAATGGGATTCCAGGAAGGAAGGAAGGAACGAAGGAAGGAAGGAACGAAGGAAGGAAGGAACAAAGGAAGGAA